ATGGAGTCCATTTCAGCAGATGTTGGACGATTTCGGCGAGAGGAGGGAGGTGGTGTTTTCATGGTATGTTGGTGACGAAGCCGACGCGGATTGCGGGGTGTGCGAGAGGGGAGGGAGGCAATGCGGTCTCGACTTTGCGAGGAACCAGAGCTTCTGCATCGGCCAGCAGCAGCATCACGGTGAGAATACATGCATGATGTCAATTATTTTTTATCTCAGTTTTATGTAATGTGAAGTGCTGGTGTCACAAATTCTTTTACTTTCTCTAAGATATTGTTTTTTCAGTGACATAAATCACATTAAAATTGATGTGAACTGACATTCAAAAAGTTCTTTTTTTTTGTTGGAGAAAGGACATTCAAATTGTTACTGTTTTGTGCATTTGAAACAATGGAAAAATATTATAATGTTCACATGTCTCCGTTTGTTTGTGTATGTCCGTAAAATGCACATTGACTAGTAAGCATCCCAGGGTGAGTGGCCTACGCGCAGCTGGGCTCTTAGTCACCATAAATTCCCTGAAGAGAATAAATTTTGAGGAATTCACACTGAAGCTTTATTTATGTTGGGAGTGTATTACAGACAATAGATTTTGAACAACTAGAGATATTGATTTGAAACTTCTAACATTAATGATTAATTCTCTTTATATATTCAATTGCTGCGTAAACGAAGGGTAAAGTAATGTTAGTATTTGCATGAGATTTTTCTCATGCATATGTTGTCATTCTTCTGTACCCTGTTGGCCTGTTCAACTTCTATGCAGTCTTGAGGGCTGGGAATGCGACAGCTTATACCAAGAAGGGCGAGGTCTCATACAAAACACATGAATGTGCATGGTTTATCTCTTCAATTCTACTAGGAGACACCTCTAGAATTCATGGGAGTGACCTCTGGAATCGTTCAGTGCTTGGTGGAGTTTTCTTAGGTGGTAGATCTAAATGGAGAGTATGCCACACCCTAGACCTAAGTTAGTTTTGCTCCACAGTATGTGCAACGAATGAATTCTTGTTTATATGAACACAAAAATTGACAGTAACTAGCCTTTGTTGGAGGAAAAATTGAAAAAAATCATATTCATGTGTTTGTCGGAAAACAAGTTTAGAGTTGGTGACCTGCTATGTACTTTTCTTTTGGAGGGCTACACTTATAGCTACCTAAACTAAATAGTTGCACCAGGCATAACACATGCACAAAATCCAGCAAAACTTGCCTAATTCCATCTTTCACTTTCCTACTTTGGCACCATATCAGCATTTAAGAATAGTATGGTAATTCTCTAAGACAGCTTTTAGATAAATTGGCACGAGACATGCACCGGATTGTTATATATCAGAAACCTTTTTCTCTTATAAGATGCTCACTCTCTTATTCTTGTTCCAATGTTATCTTGCACTCTCTCACTTATATTGCACTAGTCTAATGCTTCTATACTTAGTTGCAAGAAGAGGACAAGTCCTATGTCACAAGCTTGTGTAATTGTATAACTATATGCTTCGGGGTTTCTTCAGGCTTCTAATTTTGCATTATGAGCTAGAAACTTGTAGGCTATCGATGTTGTAGATTTTTTGGAAACTTACTTAGAAATATCTAGATGATGCACATGTTCCACGTGGCCAAATATATTTGTTTCAGAAACTTGCGAGAGTTCAAGTTACTACTTATCTCAACAGTTTCTGATTAGGTAAGTGCCTCTAAGAACCAGTCTACCAGATGAGGTAGCTGTAATATCCTCCAGGGTTGTGGTGGCTTCAAATGTCCCTTTTGCTAGTTTAAAATCTCCAAAAACCATTTTTCTTCCTCTAAAATTTCAACATCCTGAAGTTGCTGCGTGATGTTTTTTTAGCCACTGCAGCGATCAAATCCAAACTTGCATCATGGTATCCAAAAATTTTACAAATGCATTCAACGGAAAAGAACACAACTGGCTGCCTGGTGCTAGATGCAATGTATGATCTTGTTCATGATCATAAACAATGAGCAACATGTATGAAATTAGGAGGAATACAAAGAGGAAGCACTCTGTCCTTGGTGGGTTTTATGCATTAATATTCTTTGAAATTGTTGTGAGAAATTTCTTTTCTTGGTTGTTCTGTAATTAGCTGAAATGTTTAGACTTCCACTGGAGCAATATAACCTTTCAATTTTAATTGGATAAAAAAGTAATTATAATAATCTATTACTCTTAAAGACCCTTATCCTTTGGATAATTTTTTTTCTCGTGCAACATTTCTTTTCTATTCGTTTCTGTGGACTGATCAAAGTGTTATAAGACAATGAATTATACATGTGCTGTTCTGTCTTCATACCCCTTGGATGTCCACAAGGATCTACTTCTCTCTTTAAAAAAATATTTCCTTATCCATTAGTTATCAGGAAACTATTTTTCCTTAAGGAAAGTTTTAGCAACTCCTTGTCTGAATGAAATTTGTTATTCTAATCCTAATCTCTCTCTCATGTTTTGCAGGATCACATGTGAAGATCATTGCAGGTGAGTGCTTATGTGTGTGTGTTTATATATATAAAATTGTATATATATACACACACACACACTAGTGTGTGCCCCGTGCAAAGCACAGCCTCCCTTTTTTGCTACAGGAATTCCGTTTTTAATGCTCAGTGTATTTTTAAATTCTACAGTAATATAAATTTTAAAGTTACAGCTACAGTATTATTTTTAAAAATGCCACAGTAGTATATTTTTTGAATGCATAATAATATTTTTTAAATGCTACAGTATCCCGCTTTGCTATAGTAATATTTTTTAAATGCTACAGTGATTTTACTGTAGTATGAACAATGCTTTTCTTATTTTATATATATGAATAGTTATTTATATATATATTTGTATATATATAATTTATATATATTATATCAATCGCTCACACTAAATTCTGTACGTATTTACCGATCTTGATCCAAAAATGAAATTGTATAGTAATAATTTTAGTGTGAGGATTGAATATATATATATATAATATAGTATATATATATATATTATTATATATTATATATATATCAATTATATTATATATATTATATATATATATCACCTCACAACTAAAATCTTGTCGTTTTAGATCTGATCCAAAATGAATTGTATAGAATAATTTATGTAGATAAGCTTCTATTCGAAGGATTTTATTGTTTCCGGGTTGTCACAGAAACCCAATGGTGGCCCTTATCGTCAGCAATTCAAATTCTCTACTAAAAAGAGTATAGCCTGGCGAATATAGGCACCTCCATCAAGTTATATTTATGCTAATTATATATTTTTCATTGATTAGGTACATCCACTGTCGGACTCCTAGTTCTCCTATCAGTTTCAACCATCGTACTATATGTTTTCAGGCAATCTGAAAAGGAAAAAAGAACATACTTGAAAGTAGAAAAGTTCCTAGCTACATACAAGACCACAAAACCCACACGATACACTTATTCTGGAATTAAGAAAATAACTAAACGATTCAGCCATAAATTGGGCCAAGGTGGATTTGGAAGTGTGTACAAGGGGGAGCTTCCCATGGAAATTGCAACTGGTATTGCCCGGGGCATTGAGTACTTACATCAGGGATGCGACCAGCGTATTCTACATTTTGATATCAAGCCTCACAATATCTTGTTAGACCACAACTTCGTACCAAAAGTTTCTGACTTTGGTCTAGCAAAACTTTGCTCAAGAGATCATAGCATTATTACCATGACAGCTGCTAGGGGCACAATGGGCTACATTGCACCAGAGATTTACTCTAGAAACTTTGGAGAAGTGTCTTACAAATCCGATGTTTACAGTTTTGGGATGCTATTGTTTGAAATGGTAAGTGGGAAGAGAACTACTGAACCCGCAATTGAGGAGCAGAATGAGGTTTATTTTCCAGAGTGGGTTTATAACCGGTTGATTAGTGGAGAAGATCTTGGACTTTCTGCGGAGATGGGAAAAGAGGAGAATATTGCAAAAAAACTTATGGTTGTTGCACTGTGGTGTATTCAATTGAGTCCAAATGACCGTCCTACTATGACAAGAGTAATCCAACTTCTTGATGGGGACTTGGAAAGCTTGCAGATTCCACCAAAGCCTTTTGTCTCGGAATATCAAGATATTGGTACTTCTATAAGCAAACTATAATTGAAGGTAGTTCAAATTGCAATTGCTTTGTCTTCTTAAATAAATACACTTTCCCTTTTATCACTTTTATCTTCTTTCTATAATTTTTGTATCTACGTCTTCTCTCTCATTTACAGAATTCCTGTAACCTTTTAATTTATGTTTTATTGCAAAATCCTGCTCGTGGTTTTGAAAGCATTTTTAACCCTTATCTTCTTTCTGCAGTTTACATATGTATCTGTCATTTAGTACCCAATTCCTTCTGTGTACTTATGTAACAACAAAATGTTGTAATATTTTCCTTGTCAAATAGTTGATCTATTATGGAGCATTTCTCAGTTGATATATGAAATTAGCTTTTGTGTATACAGTTTGAGCATGTTTTCATATCCCCATCTAACTCTTCTTCCTTATTATTTTATTATATCGATACAGGATGACTTCTCAATCTTTGGACATTGTATAAACTCCAAGTGCTCATACTGCATCCACAATTTAAACTGCCTCGACATGTCGGCTGATATATCGTTTTTTAGCATTCAACGTAGTAACTAGATCGTATAAATAAGTTTATATTATTTATTTAGTCAATATCTCTAATATTTTTGGTTTGACCGGACATAATGCCTGTTATTTTGACTGACCAACATGATTTTTTCATGTGACTACTAAGCGCTGGATTGGCTACTAAATTGTTTATTTTTACGAGTTATAATGCAGTCGTGTCTATTTGTGTTGTTCTTTTTGTTTGATTGTATGACATCAATATGTCTTCTCTTTACACATCTGCATTTAAGAGTTATAATGTTATCATACAAACTCATATTATATCAGACCCTCTTCTTTATCCATCAATGTTTAGCGACATGAGATATTCAGATCTTTCATCATAATGGTGCCCTCTATTTTACTTTCTTTATGTAATACAACATCCACTATCCAACAGTTTATTCTGTTGGTTGTTTTCTACTTTACTAGCAACATTTAGAACCTTGGCTGAGTCAATATTAAGCTAGTCAAGCAATTTAATCTTGAATAAAATCCAATCTCTCTTTTTCTGGATTATTGGCAGGTGGAAGGTGTGACATTGTGATAGGGGTGCAAGGGGAGTGGATACAAACCCGATATTGATAAATGTACAAATTTGTTTTCATGACTAGTATGAATTGGATCTTCTTGTAAGAAGTCTTGAAAATATGGAATTACTGATATGTCGTGTTGCTTTTTTCTTTTCTATAAAATACAATTATGAATATATCATCAAGTTAACCTATATTTACTTCATAATGAACATACCTAAAATCCAGATCTTATTCACGTTGATCATGTTCACATATATTCTGATTCGGGTCTCTATCAGGCAAAAGCTTACAAAGAATGCCAGATTCATATACAGGTTAAAGTTGGTAGCGGAACTTTTACCCTATTTGAAAAAAAAAATTGGATCCTGAAACAAATGCAGTCGATTAATATCCTTACTTGTTTTTTACTGGCTCCCGCTACCCAGGCAACTTTGCGCACAAGCAGTGAAGGAAGTGATCGGCTATGGCAGGGACAGTCTTGAATAGAAATCAGTAGCAGTTTTTTTCCTTTTGTGGTTCGAATCTGGGTTTTGGTTTTTTTATTTTGTTGGGTTCGAGTTAGGTCTGATGCAATCTATTTGACACAAAAGCCTATACCAAAGTCCCTTGTCAATAAATAGCTTTCTTTTGGAGATTTGTTTTTGCCCCCTTTTGTATGCACCATAGGCGTGCATCTTAGCACCTATGTGGGGGTTCTCATAGAAAATTTAAGCAGCCTGGCGCACACCACACCTGTCCACGCACCTGCTTAGACTGTTTTTTTTAAACAATGTCAACTGGAACTACATATCAATAGTAACTGTTTTGCACGATCACATTTGAAAAACAATGGTGAATGGAACTAGCGGAATTATTTTAAAAATGCTCAAGAGCCAAATATTATTGATGTGAAATCGGATTAATTAAATTGGGGCATAGTGTTAAAAAGAAATGTCATAAACATGAATTTTTCAAAAAAATTAAGATGAAATTATTATACTTTTTTAGAATTCTTTAATTAGTTATACATGATGTTACCTTCAGATTAAGTAAAAGTTAAATCTCAAGAAGAAAGTATCATTGATGATTTGATAAAAAATTACATGGGTTGTAAGCGTATAAAAATGCCTATAGGTTCCTACACACAGCTCGGGACGAAATGCAGACGATAAGCGTCATCATCCAAGTCAGGAAATGATTATCTGGCCCCGTGAAAGCTAACGAATATACAAAGTGAGTCATTGGAGTGTACAAGTCACCGGAATGACGAAATACGCAATACAAGTTCGGAGAAGTCAGAAAGTGTCGAACACCTCAAAGTGGACCGCAAAATAAAGAGGCATTTAGACCATGCTACGATTTGAATCTGAAAAGGTTCAAAACATGAAAGTTGTAGGTCTCTTCGACAGCTTTCTAACGCATCTTGAATCACCTCATTCCGAGGTCGGATGAGTGAGTTAAGACCGTTATAGTAACTCCGGGACGCTCAAATCCGACCGGCGCTACAGTCCGACCCGCTACAGTTCCGACCCGCGCTACAGTCCCGATCCGTACTACAGTCCAACCCGTGCTACAGTCCGACCCGTGCTACAGTAATCTGACCCGTGCTACAGTGATCTGACCCGCACAAAGAAGTGAAGTTTTGACTATGTTACGATTTTAATCTGAAAAATCTCAAAACATAAAAGTTGTAGATCTCTTCGTCAGCTTTCCAACACATCTTGAATCAGCTTAATCGGAGATCGTACGAAAGAGTTAAGGCTAAAATACCGAAGATATCTCAAACTGACCCGCGTAGCGGCGGGGGGGGGGGCGCGCCACGCAGGTCACATCAGTCCGTATCGCGTCCAGAACTGCCCGTAACCTCCAAAACGTGTTTTTAGGCTGTTTCGATCGGTTTCTTCTGTTCCAGAGGTTCCTAACTGCCTAGATATCATCTACAAACGTGGTTAGGCCGTTATTAACTGAAGATAAGGCCAAATCACTCATTCTGATCCAAAACCCCCCCAACCGAAGCCTATAAATACGGGCTCAAGGGCTCATTTCAAAGGGGGGATTAATTACCAAGAGGAGGAGGTGCTGCCGGATTGAGGAGTCAAAGGAGCACGAATTTCAGCGAGGGTTGACAGATCTTGGCGAGTTCTTCGGTATAAAGAAGGAGAGTTTGAGAGATCCGACGCTCATTCCCATCCGTTCCTCGAGATTAGGCTTGGTCTTAATCTCGAGAAGAGCTACTGATTTCGCTTGGTTTATTTCAGCGCTTTAAGCAAATACCTCCTTGGTGAGGTAGGAGCTCTGTCGAATTTTCAGCAACTGGATCTGATCAAAGGTGGTCCACGGATAAACCCCGGCACAGGCGAAGATACCCACGCAAACAGGAGACGATAAACGGATATTGCGTTTATTTTCAAGAGAATTGTATCTTTTATTTTTATTGTGTAAAGGTCTTATAAAAAGACCGATCTTTTTGAACTTATTGTAACGATCAAAGTTGTAATGAGTTATACAATGAAGAAAATAATTTTCAACAAAAACAAACTGGCGACCATAGTGGGAGTCAACGGTCTCGCTGCCGAGGCCGTCATGTCGCAACCGATGATTAAGATCCCAGTTGAAGAGGTGGTCGAATACGAGTTCGACCAACAGAAGTACGAAGAATACCTCTCGTCCTCCTCCTCCAGATCCTCCGTTTCTCGCAAGCGCAAGAAGATCAACGCCCCCGTTGCTGCGGTAGCTAAACCTTACAACGCCCTTCCGGCCTCCAACGAGTCCGGATCTGCGGATCTGAACTCCTCCTCAATCAAGGAGTTGAGTACAGAAGGCGCGCCCACTTTATCGAAGAGAGATCGCCAAAGACAGCGCCAACACCTTGCGCGCCAATTCGTTAGGGCTTTGGAGTCAATTGACGGGATCCGTTACGAGGCGGATCTGAAAATTAGGCAACGCCAAGCGCCCCAACAGCGGACAAATGTCCTCTCCTCCAAATCACCAATAAGTGATTGGGTACAAGTCAAAAAGATCCGTTCAACTCTTGAAGAGCGGATCAAAAAGCGCTGCGCACTGCTTGCGCACGCACGAATTCTTGCGCAAGAGGCCAAAAGATTACAGAGGGAAGAAGTGGAAAAGAAGCCATAAAAACTGCACCAAGTTTGGAGGCCAAAGTCCGAGACGGGGGTCGAAAAGATCGAGAAAAGCTGGTCACTCAAATCTGACCCTCCAAATCGCGGGTCACTTGGATCCGATCCTCCAAATCGCGGGTCACTTGGATCCGACCCTCCACTTTGCGGGTCATTTGGATCCGACCCTTCAAATCGCGGGTCACTTGGATCCGACCCTCCACTTCGTGGGTCACTTGGATCCGACCCTCCAAATCGCGGGTCACTTGGATCCAACCCTCCAAATCGCGGGTCACTTGGATCCGACCCTTCACTTTGCGAGTTACTCAAATCCGACCCTCCACTTTGCGGGTCACCCAAATCCGACCCTCCAACCCACGGGTCGCCCAAGTCTGACCCGCGCCAGGGTCAAGACAGAAGACGTTCTGCACTGGTTTCGTCGATCCCTTTGAGTTTCGTACATCCGGTGGAGCCCCGCGATAGCGTGGATTTGTCCTGATTTAAAGTGAGGATGGTCGATCGTCTGGGTTCTTTGCACGAGGATTGAGGCAAAGTTCTGATCGAAGAACGCTTGGGTCCGGTAATTAAACCTCGAGCGACTCGTCGAGCTGGGGGTCCCACACGCCCTCGTAACAATTTCGAGCCTTCTCATAAAAGAAAAACTTCAGTTTCACCCTTAGAAAAGTGTGAGTCCAAACGTGTGACTCCTGCAGACGCCAATAAGGAGTTTCATACTCAGAAGAAAACGCGTCAGACAAACGAACGCGTTATACCTGAGGAGTCGTGCCAACACACGATAGGTTACTCTGGTCATCAGACCGATGAGTTGTACTATCGAGCTGGGGGTACGAACAAGTCTCGGAAGAGAAATACCCGAGAATCGGAGTCTCACTGCCCGTGCGCTAAGATTATCAGGGCAGTCTTATCAGCATGTAGCTACCCCAAGACCGCTCCGCAGAGGGTCTCAGTATTCAAGAGGATCTCCAACGGAACGATCAAGTCCAAACCAAAACGTTTCTGCAAGAAACAACCGGCTGTTCGAGATGACGAATTCCCAGAAGTTACCATCAATATGGTTAATAAGGAAAAGTCCCCAATTGTTTCAAGTGGTTCTAGCCCCAATTTTTTCTCCAGGAAGAAGAGTTAATTCGGGAATAGCTTGACTGATGTCTCGACTCCAGCTGAAAGCAGTCGGACCTGAACAATCCGCAGTCACAGTTAATATGGCTGGGAGGGGAAAGTCGACTCAACCTTCTAGTTCTGATCCACTCATATCTCATCGTCTAACGCGGTTGCGATCGGGAACCATTAGACAAAGAGATTATCAGCGAATGCAGAGGGGATTATCCTCGGATGATGAAGCATCAGATGCCAACTCTGCAGTCGCTTCTGACAAAACGGTATCCAGCCCAGGGGAATCCCGAGAAGTGTTTATGATTAACACCGAGGAAGTAGCTAAAATGGTTGAGGATGCTTTGGCCAAGCAAAAAGAGAACTTCAAGTTCAAAATGGAAATGACTATGCAACGAATGAGGGAAGAACACGACCAACAAATCCGAGCTTTATCAAATCAACTTGGTGAATCCAGCCACCGCAACGTTGCTAACCAAACAGATAGCGATTCATATGTGGATGAACGTCTCAATGCTGATAACCCTCCCGTTGACCAAAACGCTAGGAGTGGCCCCACTAAAGATAACAACGCTGGGGGTGGTTCCACCGAAGATGACAATGTCGGGGGTGGCCGCGTTATTCCTCTTAAGAATCGTCCAGAGCCCGATACAATCGACGATGAGAAAATAAAAGATCTCGAGAACAAAATCAACGCTCTAATGTCTGCTCGAGAGGT